GCATAAACAGTAGCCTGTTCACTTGCTAATCATCACCGCCGTCATCGCCTTTATCAAGATGGGCGAAATGGCAGTCACTGAACTGGGCGCTGGGCCTTCCAGTACCGATTCACCGCATAGCAGCCCAAGTTCTTCCATCATTCCTCCAGTCTCCTCCACTTTTCTCTATAACTCCATGATTTCAGCAACACATGGAACCTCACCTCCGCCTCCTCACTTAGAAGAAGAAGAGGAAGAGGAAGATGAGGGAGAGGGAACGATGGAAGGGGATGTTTGCGCTTCCTTTTACCGACCTGGGGAAACTCGAAAAGCTCGAGAATTCATACCTGAGAGCAAAAAGGATGAGAAGTACTGGGAGCGACGAAGGAAGAACAACGAGGCAGCAAAACGTTCGCGCGAAAAGAGACGACAAAATGACGCATTAATGGAACAGGAGATAGCAGAGTTGAAGCATCAAAATGAAGCGTTGACGCGAGAAAATGCGGCATTATTGAGGGAACTCGCTGCATTAAAAGCGAAGGAAGGGGGAGGAGCTCTGGAGGCACCGCCCCCACCTCCACCGCCACAGCTGCAGACCTTGCCAACACAGTCGTCTACCATGCCACCGGCTGTGAATGCACTGGACCTTCTTGCCTTACAGCGTCTGCTTTCGGCCTTTGCTAACAATTCCAGTGGAGTTGCTGGACGATCTGTTGCAACTCCGAATACCACTGAAAGCGTTGAAGATAGTCCTTTGGATCTCTCTGGTGGAAAAATCGCGATTCTTCAACAAAATCGCCTTCCCCATCCATCTCCGATAGCGCAATCGACTTTACCCCCTGCCAGTGATGTGGATCAGTGTAAGTTCTGCTGCATTATGTGGCGATTGGTGCAGCCGACCTCAGTTTAAAAACGAATGAAAAAGTTTTGCTTTGGCCTGGGCGTTCTAAACTTTTATCTCAAGATGCTGGAACCTCTTAATCACCTCAGAATCTCATCTTTATCCGACTTCATAAACTAAGAAGTTAATCTTGCTGGCATAACTATGGGTGTAACCAAATGGACTGCCAACCGTCTTTTTTAAGTTTGTATTTAGACGAACTCCTGTTTTACTCATTGGTATTTTCGTCCCATTTTGTTCGCTCAATTCGAAGCAGTGCTGTGCGATTACTTTCATCAAAGTTCTTTTGGCATGTGTGGAGTGAGCTACTATCTCGATATTCTTTGATAAATCCGAATGTCGTTCCGCCTCCTGAGTGACCTCACGTCAAACGGAGTAAAAACACATCCCATGCTAGCAGTTCCTGTTTGGACACGGAACCGATAAGGTCATTCGTTTGCATTTCAAGTTCTGTTTAAACGTGTTCTTGCAATTCGCTCCATAAGTTTGGTTAGGCTTGATGGAGTCGGAGCCGTGTCACGGGAGATTGTAGAGACTAATCAGCCGATGTTGATAAACTGTAGCATAAATGACGCTTAGTTACGCCACCCAGCGTTTCTCGTAGATGTCCCATTGTGTCGTCTTCCTTAACTTTGAGAATTAGATGGATCCGTGGTTTGTCAATGATGGACCGTCTTATCTCCTGTAAACTGCATTTCAGGCACTCTGACCCTCCACACTTGAAGAGTGTTTGATGCTTTCCGACGACCAATTTACTGGAACATAAGAAATGGCTTTGAGCAGATGAGACCTCATATCATTCACTCCACAACTGTTCGACTACTTGCATGGGTTTCATTTTATCACAGGGAGCACAGGATGGTCACATGCTTTCGAGTGTTTTCGTACAATTTCTGATTCTGGGTTTCGAGTTGTCTAGGTCCGAGGTCATCACAGTTGCCGAGCCTTTAACAATTTTCGGGTCAGAGTGATTAAGTGAGGCAAATGTGGGTTCAACAGCCTCTCTCTTACGACCTTTCGTGAATACGGCCACTCGTGGATGAGCCGCCTTTCTCTAATCCTTTAAAGTCGTGTGCAAGTAACGTAATAGGACGCACGACGCAAATTTCATGATCTCAAGGTGGGCAGGTCGGAAGGCTAACACAGATAAGCTCATGAATGAACGCATTCGTTATAAGACAGTCTAGAGGACATCCCATCACTGCAACCTAATAGGAGAACCTGGTCAGCAAACAGAAACCATACAATTTTCTGCTAATAGCAAACACCTCACACCCAATTGGTTCTAAACTCATCAATTAACTTGGAGTGAAGGTTACCGAAATGCTGGTGTAGGTCATGCAACGCAGTTTTCATAATGAGCTTGAATAATAAACCGAAGGGTCAAGTCTAACGCTGATGCTGCACGCGGTGAACAAAGCTGGATGTCCTTCCACCTCCCTTCTCCACGCCTTGTCGTAAGTAAAATTGTTTGGTCTATACTCTAATT